GAGGGGATCAAGAGTCCTTATTCACTCCTGCTTGAATTCACGACTTAAAGAGCTTGAGGCTGAGGTGAACACAGGACCAGAGGGAGGTTCTGAGGCCATGGCTGAAGGACAAGGGGAGTGGAGGGGGCCTAGTTAGTGCCAGCTTCCTGTCTGAGATGCCCAGGGGCTGAGAGGAGAGACACTGGGGTCGGATTGGAAGAACCCAAGCAGACGGGAGAGATTTGCTAGAGGAGAGAGTGTCTTGGTTGGAGGAAAGTTTATAACCTGAGTGAAAGAAGAGGAGACTTACTCCATTTATGAGACTCCAAGTGACCCTACTCTGGCCAAGTGTAGCATTAGTGGGAGCAGTCCATTGCCTGGCTTCCGCTTCCTTGACGTCACCTTGAAGAATAACTGAAGTATAACTCGGTAATAAAGAGCCCTTGTAAGTTGCTGTACTTATCTGTTTGAACTTCTGTAAGTTTCCATCCTTATCACCTGCTTTCTCTCAGTACCAGCTTTTAAGATTAAATAATGGAAACAAAAGCCTTTGTAATATTTTTATGTTTTGCTGAATAAAAAATATAATATATTCATAGCTTTAAAAATGTTTTAAATATATTTAATACTTATAATAATATTTAAACATATTTATGGACTGTGCAGTTTTATTGTGTATATGTTATATTTCAGCAATGTTGTGGTTCATGTAGAGTTTTAAAGAAGAGTCTGAAAATCTCTAATACTGTTGCTATGGGAAATAGTTTCTTCTTATAGATGAACTTTTGGAACTCAGCCATCTGTAAATTGAGACTACATTTTTTAATAAGATAGTTCTCCTCAAGGTGATTAAAATAAATGATTTTAAGATTAGCTATAGTATTTTTTTATTCATGCTACGACCTGTTCTACTATTCTTGCCGGTAACTGAGAGGTAATTTAATGGTGCTGATGTTTTTCGTTGTATTTTGTAATTGTCCTGAGTTCATTAAGGGCTCTTAGTTTGTATAAACAGAGTGAACATTCCCCAGAGTATTGCAATAAATAGTTTCAGAATTTCCCATCTTACCCCATTTTCCATAGCTTCCTAGCCTTGCTAGTGCCTGTCTAATGCCAATGTATTAAGCCTTCAGAGAGTACTGTCATTTAAATAGCCCAGACCAACTGTCCTAGCACACACTAAGTCTTAACTTTCTTATTGTAAATGTTCATGCTAGAAGAAATTGAATTTCTTGACTCAGAAATTGAAGTCGATTTGAGATTTATTAAAAGGCAGAGTCACATGTTTTTAACATTTGGGAAGTCAATATTACATTTCCTTTTATTCTCTCTCTTCATCTCTGTCTTAAGTTGCACGTTTTTGTTAGTTGCCCCCGAGTTGACTCTGACTCCTGGCAACCTTATGTACAACAGAACAAAACATTGCCCGGTCCTGTACCATCTTCATGATCATTGGTATGTTTGAGTCCATTGTGACTGTGTGTCAGTCCATCTCATTGAGGGTTTCCCTTGTTTTAGCTGACCCTCTACTTTACCAACCATGATGTCCCTTTCTAGCCAAGTTGCATGGGGGTGTTTATTGATTTAATAATAAACTCTTCCTTCCTTCCTTTACTTTACTTCTCTCCTTTTTCTCCTCCTCTTCTTGCCCTCTGTTGTTATTTGCTGTTGAGTCAGTCCAACTCATGGCAATCCCATGTGTGCACAGTAGAACAGCTGTTCCATAGGGTTTTCAAGGTTGTGACCTTTTGGAAGCAGATCACCAGGCCTGTCTTCTTAGGCGCCTTGGGGTGGATTTGAACCACGAGCCTTCCCACTAGTGGAGTGCTTAACTGTTTGTGCCACCCAGGGACTCCTTCCCTCCTCTTCAAAACCAAACCCATTGCCATGGAGTCGACTCTGACCCGTAGGAACCCTGTAGAACAGAGTAGAACTGTCCCATAGGGTTTCCAAGGCAGTAATCTTTATGGAAGCAGATTGCCACATCTTTCTCCCGTGGAGCAGCTGATGAGTTTGAAACGCCAGCCTTTTGGTTAGCAGCTGAACACTTAACCACTGCACCACTGAGGCTCTTTTTCTCTTCTAATCAATAGTAAATAGCAGGTCAAACAACAGTACTGTAATTAATGTACTAAGGAAAGGTGGGGCCCTTGGCTTGAAGGAGATTTTACCACTTAAAGCTTTGATCTTCAGAAATATTACTGGTTAAGAGCTCGTCTGCTGACCAAAGGTCAACAGTTGGAATCCACCAGCCACTCCTTGGAAACCCTAGGAGGCAGTTCTACTCTGCCCTGTAGGGTTGCTATGAGTCAGAATCGACTCCACGGCAACAAGTTTGCTTTTGGGTTTTGTGCTGGCCAGACAGGTGAGATCCTTGGGCGGTATCTTACAGTGCTGGCTTTTGTTCATGTCCTGGTTCCACCACTTACTGGTTCTGTGACCTCAGGCCGGTTACTTAGTCTCTCTGAGCTTCACTTCCCCATCTGAAAAGTGGCGATGATAATAGTACCTTTAGGTTGTGGTGAGGATTAAGTATGATAATAGTAGTTAGAAAAGTACCAGGCACCTAGTAAAGGCTATTTTAGCTGTTTTATCTGCTGCTCTGGGCCACCAGTTTTCAACCTCTGCTATTTTTTTTCTGTGCAGTTTGCTTTCCTCTTCTCTTCTCAACATATATCTGGATCATTCTACCAAGACAGTACATACAAATCCAGCTCATTTTTTAAAATTGAGGTTTGATGTACATACTGAAGAGTACAAAATCTTAAGGTGCATAATAATGTGTCATGTTAGAAACCAGTCTCTTATTTTTATTGATTCAGTTCCCTCAACAAACATTTGAGTGTGTGCTCGTCACTGGTCTAAACACTGACGTTCTAGAATGAATAAGATGGTAAGTCTGCCGTAGTTGGATTCCCTGTCCAATTCACAGACCTTTGCTGAATAGCCTTCAGTGATATTACTGAGTTTAGGAATATAAGCTTACTGATGCCATTTACTTTTAGGGAGCTATTTCAGGGAACAACTTGACTTCTCCACCATCTAGGATGTTAAATCTATCATGTGTATTTCTTTGACGATTTGGGTTTTTCTTTTTTCCTTGCACAGATGATCATGATGTGGGAGTAAGCAGAGTAAAGCAATCGTGTGACAAGCGTACAAGTTCTTTTTCCCCTTCCCTTCTGCCCTGTAAGCTTTTCTCTGTAGATTTGGATTGAGTTTTACAGTTTATCTTTGGTGAGAGCTCAGGAGAGGACAGAAACTCTTGAAACAGTGCCTGAGAATGAGAAGGGGGAAAATTGCACAGTTTCAGAAGAATATTAATGTCGAGACCAAAACTTCAAAAGCTTTTAGAAGATATTAATTTTCCACCAGTTCTGCATGTATAGGTGCATCAGTTTATTACACAGAACTTTTCTTCCCTGTCTCTCGGAAAGCTGTTTTGAAACTATTGTTGAAAATTAAGTTGCATCCATCTGTGTAAAGAAACTTAGGCCAGGCATTTCTATGTTGCCTTTATTTTTGGGGGGTTAACATTAGCTTAACTGATTTGCTTGATCCCCTCTCTTTAGAAAGGATTTACAGTGGCCTCCTCAAGACATTTCACAGAAATATTTTAATTGTTTGGATAGAAGTCCATCTTGACATTCTGCCGTATAAATTCACCTTCACATAAAGAGAACAGTCTCCAACAACATTATGCTAATGGCTGTGGAAGAGGAAGAAAGAAATTTTGTTGATGAGTTATGTGTAATAGATTTAGTTCCAGATTCACAAGTTTAACATATTTGAAAGCCTAGAGAGTGTTAAATAGGTTTTATTAAAACTAATGTTTTTCATAATGGAAAACATTTTTGTATTTACAAATTGTGTGGGCTTTTATTTTGTTAACGAGTCCCCTCCCTCCATTTCCTTTTTCTTTCTTTTTTAACAGTTAGAAAGGCCTGTTTGATGAGGGAAGAGAGATGTAGGTGGGAACCAGTTCTTGGAAGAACTTGGTATCCTATACTAAGAAAGCTGAACTGAATTTCTACAAGTATTGAGTACCTACTATGTGCCAGGCAGTAGATTTATTATAATCCTAAGTGTTCGGTTGTGCTGTGATGTCCCTCCCATGCCCCTAGGAAGTTGACTAGTGGTTCCCAGGGGGTCACCTAAGAGTTACCTGGGAAGCTACTTTTCTCAAAATACAAGTTCTTTGTCCTCCTATCCCTATCCCAACTTAGATAACTACCTGGTAGAACATACGTGCTTTGTAAAAGCTTTCCAGGTGATTTTTAGATCCCTACCCTTTTGAAAATTATTTTTATATAGACTTGAGTTTTGTTTTTTTTTTTTAAATCAAATGAGTAAATAGCAAGTGAAATTGTAATCGCTGTTTTAAAAGTTTTGATACCCCTTCTTGCATACCCCACCCCCATAATACTTAAACTGATATAATTATGTCCTACTACACCCTCAGCAAGAATTATGTGCAGCTGTCATATTTAGAGTTATATTTTATGACACTGAGACATTAATTTGGGAAAACTGGGCTTACTCTTCCTAACTGTATCTCTAGGTTATGCCTTTTACTAAATGAACTCAGAGAGATGTCATTTATAGTGGTATATGACCTGCGCGGCAAAGACCACATGATCCAAAAAAAACTCTGAACTTTTACAGAATGTTTTATAGGAAAATAGACTATTGCTAACTTGTTGGAGACCATGGCGAAAGGGAATAAGTAATAAAGTGGAAAAAATATGTATGTGTCTAACTTGTGGTTAAGCTATTTGAGTTGAGTCAACAATTAAAATGAGCAGCTGTTGTGGACGTGGGTTTAAGTTCTTTCCAGTATAGCTTTGATTAGGCAGCCATTTTGTGTAATTGCACTCACAAAGCAGGGATTTGTGATTTCAGTACACCTAAGCAGCCATGGTATTTATAACCTAATCACAGGATATGACATTACAGATTAGGGGAGAAATTGGGAAGTAATACGATACAATTGGTATATTGTGTATTTTTCTTTTTATTAGTGTGCCGGTCCAACAAAAGCCCCTGGGTCTGTTTGACTTGTTCAAGTGTCCACTGTGGAAGGTAGGTGACATACTTACTAATTCGCTACCCTGCTTGCTTTTAAATTTGCCTTTAAGCTTTATGCCAAAGTTTTGTTGATTTGAACTTATTTAGTACATATAGTTGCTTAATCACAGTGTGTAATTCTCTGTAGGGCTTCCCTCTTCCAGTAGAATCCCTTTGTTTAGTGACACAATTGGGAAGAATCTAGGCAGAATACCTTGATACTCAGAAGAATTAGTTTGATGATCAAGATAATCTAGTAATACTTGACTAAAAAATTAAACGAGAACTTCGACATCTTGAATTAAAAGCCTACCTTATGGTAGTTTTTTAAACCTTTTATTGGGGGAAATTTCAGCATATATGAAAATAGAGAGTTAATATAATTAAGCCCCACGTTCTCATCACTCAGCTTCAACAGTTATCAGTGCATGACCAGTCTTGTTTCACCCGTTACCCCATCCCTGCCTTTGCTGGCTTAGTGAATCCCAGATATCCTATCGTTCTTCTGAAAATAGCTAAAGTATTTACAGAGAAAGGAATTCTCTTTAAAATGATCTCATAGAGTTCATTATTAATTCCTGCCTAAAAAACAAAAACCAAACCCACTGTAGTTGAGTCAATTCCGATTCATAGTGACCCTATAGGACAGAGCAGAACTGCCCCACAGGGTTTCCAAGGCTATAAATCTTTACCAAAGCAGACTGCCACATCTTTTCCCCACGGAGCATCTAGTGGGTTCGAACCATTGACCTTCTGTTTAGCAGCTGAGTGCTTTAACCACTGCACACCGGGGCTCCTTAATTCCTGTCTAACATGTGCCAACTGTTTCATTGTTCCATTAAAACATTTTGCTTCCAAATGACTTAGCTCTCCTCTCCCCCAGTTCAAGCCTGAGCATTTCTTTCCAGGTCTTGGCTTCCAGATGATGCTAGTTTAGTAGCTCTTTTCCTCTAACACAAACTCAAATACCAACCTTTGTATTTTTTAGCCTGGTAGTAGCACATTTATCTCTACTGCCCTTTTAGCTTAGAAATTGCACTTCGAATTTACTTCAGAATAGCTTAGCAGCAAGCAGACGGGAAATCATACTCAGTCATACAGGCTGAAATCTATATTGTATTCATCTGAAATATTTCCCCATTGTTATTTTTAAACCCTCATTGCATGCAGAAAGCATCTTTGTTCAGTTAACTTTTGATTTTTCACATTTTGAGTCCTGGAATTGAGTGTTTTTTCCATGTACACTTAAGAGTACCTTTGGAAAATGTTAACTGCATATCTTAATTGTGGCTGTTGTGGTTTTGAAATCTCTAGGATTTGGGGAACCTGAAAATACTTTGTACAGATAACATTTTTTTAAAAAAGAAGAAAAGTAGAAGCACTTAAATTCTGCACTTGAAGAGACAGATTCCTCTCCTAGATTTTGAGAGGTGAGAATTATAATGCAATCAATTTATCTAGCTCTGTTCTCCAGTTGTCTCATAGTGCTCTACAACCTAAATCTTGAAGGTCATGTGCCAACAAAAAGACCTGGCAGGCTCTCAAAAATGGGAGAGATTAGTGTTCTTAATAGCAAGCAACAAACAATTCTCTATGCATGTTTTGGAAAAATAAATTAGAAATTTTCTAGTCTCTGCAGGTGGGCTGTTTCCCATTACAAGCAATCTTAAATTTAGAAATTCAGCAGGGTTTCAGAGAAATAAGATTAAATAGATGAAACAGATAATAGAGTGGCCTGAAAACTTGGATCTCCATTTTACATAGCTGATTGGTTAATTTTCTGTTAATCTTGTATGCCTGGGTGTGGGTTGCCACGTATTCAGATTTTTCAGTGATTTTAAACCACTTGGTCTGAAGAGAACTCTTAAACCGAATATTCTTTCAGTTAGGAAAAATAGTTTATGAAGAGCATGTTTAGTTATATTTTCTGTTGGTCTTCATGACGCCTTCACATCTAAGTCACTTTTTAAATTTTTAAGATTGTTGTTAGAAATCTGTAGCTTATATATAGAGTGAGACACTTTGTCTTGTGCTGTAGGTCAAAGTGTCTAGTTAAAATCTAAAATGAGATGAAGGAAATACTTGTTTTTATATTAGTCATCTTAAACAAAACTGTTACTTTCTGAGGGATGTATTTGGGCGTTAGCCAAAACATTGCTAATCTTAATGTCAGCGGAAATCACGCTTCTTACTTTATCACTGACATACATTGTAACCATTTAAATATCCAGTATATTTAGACACTGCAGTTTCATGGTGAAATGAGCTACATGTACTTTATACCGTTGATCAGTTTTCAAAGATTAGAAAGCGGTAATGCCCTTTATTATTATTATTGTTCAGTATTGCTTTTTCTTTGGTTCTGAAGATATTCCTCATTGTAAACATTGCTATTGGTTTTCATGGTGTACAGTACTACAACAACAGTACAATAAATACATATCAGCATAGAAAATTGAGCTAATTAGTTATAGAGCTTATATGATGCCTTGGATATTGAGCTTATATGATACTTTTTAAGTTCAGTATCAGATGTTTCCTGATTTATGCAGTAACATCTTATGTCAAAATATGTGCTTAATGTGACCACTTTCTAAGCAGTTATATTGTTTGAATTCTGAATAAATGGTAGTTAAGCATATAAAGGAGAATACTAACAAAAATAATTGTTAACATCCATTCATTTATTATGTGCCATGGATTAGTTAATTACCCAACAACCCATGAGATATAGGTACTGTTTTCTCCATTTTACAGATCAGGAAACCGAAGCACAGAGAGGTTAAGTAACTCACCCAAACTCACATAGCCAGACTGTAACAAAGCCTGCTTTTGAACACAGGTGGGCTTATACTCTTATTTATGGTTTTATTTTAGTCCACTTTTTGGATAGAGGACCCATGTACACTCAAATGTTAGTTATGTTTACCACTCTTAATGGGAAAAGAACACTGTCAAACTCTGAGTTGAGGTTAGCAGTGCTTCTGATGCTACCAGCTTTCCTGGGATGTAGAGACTGGGCTTAAAAGTTGATCCTCCCTTCCTTCCACAATTCTCCTACTTCCCCAAGGTAAGTGTTGCTGCTCCTGGTGCAGCTAAGGTGCCTCATGATGAATTATGTTAGCTTAACTCCCTGAACCTGCTTCTTTTGGCACCATTTAACCAACATTTGTTTTGACTGTTCTGACTGTTCAAGTCGGCCTTGCCTTCTACAGATTGGCTTATATTTAGGAACTGGGAGATATTTGTTTGATAAACGAGGGTCTTCATAGTAGTGGTCAGTTACAACATCGTGCAGTATTTAGGTGAAGGTGTGGATGAATTTGGGTGCATACCATGTGCATATGAACTCTCATTTTGCTTGTTGTAATACAGTGATTTAATAAATGAGTTGGAAAGCATTACAGATTTTTATAAAGGTTGTCAGCCTTCTATTATCTTTGTCCATGTTGAGAAATAACAGTTTATATAAGCTTAAAATGATTTGTATTTTGTGTGGATCATTTCTAAACAAACCCCTTTCAGCATGAGTGGAGCTGATTATTCAGGTGTTCAAATAAAAGATCTGAAGCCATATCGATGAGAGAGAGGTGGAACATCATCTTGTTTCCATGTCCAACTCTCACATCTTATATTAAGCAGCATCCAGAGTAGACAGAGCATGTGGCCCTGTGGAAAGTGGTTGAGTAGTTTAGTTTACAAAGCTTGTCTTTGATAACAGCCTGAGTTGGGGTTAGTGGTGTAAGAAAAAGCTTGAAAAAAGAAAAAAGCTATAGCAAAGGAGTTTATAAATGATAATATCAATGGTGTTGAAGCTGATTTGCATAGATAATGCCTTCCCTTGCGTGACCCTAGTGTTGTGTATAATTAAGAGTTGACTGTAATAGCTGATTGCAAAAAAAGGAGCATGTTTTAAGTATTCAGACTAAGAAATCACTAAATGATCGAATGCTCTTTAGGAGTATTCTTTCTCGTTCTGATTTGATTAACATGTAATTTTCCTGCTACTTTAACTTCCAAAGCAATATTTAGATTAAAATAAATCTTCATTTGGTTTTTTGTAAGGTATGTGAACGGCCATGCCAAAAAACATTATGAAGATGCACAAGTACCCTTAACCAACCATAAAAAATCAGAAAAGCAAGATAAAGCTCAGCACACAGTGTGTATGGATTGCAGTAGCTACAGTACATACTGGTAAGTTAATATTTTCTAGAAATGCTTTTCCTTCCTGTATATGTGCAAGTGTTCTCTTGTCTCCCCCGCCCCCCTTCCCCAACCTCTAAGCTGCTGCCGTGACCCCTTTCAGTCTTGTGAGGATTCACAGGGGACTGGAGCCACCAGGAACGCCTACCCCCATTCTTTCCAGTTTTACTTCACATTGTTCCTTTCAACTTCTAGGCCTCTTCTTCTCTCCCACCCCTGCTCCCTGTTTTATCCCAGTAAGCTTCTGGGAAATGAGAGATATCTATTTCTTTGTTACTGTTCATTATCATTCTTTTTCTTTTGTTTTGGTTTTTAATTGAAGGATGATATGATAAAAACCTATGTTCCTGCTTTTCAGTTAACATTTTGTCATGTAAGCTTCAAAATTTTCACTTCTTTATTTAAAAAAAAAGGTTTGACAGTCTTCCTTCTCCAGGCTCAGCCTCCTTCTCTCCTCCTACCCTAGAGGTACATGTCAAGAGGTTCGGTTGTAGCCCGTTAGTCTGTTTTTTAAAAAGTATCTCCTTCTTTGAAAGGACATTGGAGACTCTGTTCTTTGTAATATAATATGCATGTCTGTTTCATAGAAATGACAGTAAAGTAGATATCTGTTTTTGGGGCTACTTAGAACTAGGCTGGGTTATTTAGCCTACACGTGATATTTAGCAATCCATATCCATTTAGATGCTCAAAAGGCCAGTATATTTTGCCATTTCGGTTTCAGTGTAAAGCACATTTCCTTCCTTGACTAATAAATTATGATGGATAACTCTTTACTTGTTTTAATCAATTTGCTTTCCGTTCAAGAGGTTGTTGACATTGCAGAGGGAAAAAAACAGGCTTACGCTTAAAGTCTCGCCTTTGGGGGATTTTTTTCCCCTGCCAGACAGCCCTTGGATGTCACCTGAAGGCAGTACTGGACAGGGATGGGGACTTAAAGTTCAAATATCATTTTGAGTCACATTTTCAGTGCTCATCCTTTTTACATTGTCCTTAGTGGATAATTGTATTGTAGAAAGGTGTCCATCAAAAGGAGGAAGAAAGGTCAGTGGTTTTCTAGGTCTGTTAAATTTTTACAGGTTTAACATTAGTCAATTTTGGCTATTGAATAAAATATCTTAAGGTTTAGTCATTCAGATCACTACTACTTCAGTGATCCTTTGTGTGGAAGAAGGCCTCCAGGCCTAGAAGACAGACAAGCTAGAGATAAATGAAGATTTCAGTAAAAATGAACATCTTCCCAAGATTTGCTCACCAGAGCTAGCGTTCACTTTTTTATTAGTTGCTGTTATGTAACACTGCTTCCTACAAGAGTTAAGCAGGAGCCAGTCTGCTGAAGTATTTTCCTTTGTATTTCCCATTCCTTTGGGAAACTTATATACGAGAATGACATAGCTGCCTAATTTACAGAGCTGTGTGTTTCTCTGGTTGTGAGGACTTCCGCTTTAGACAACAGAAATTCAGACCATTCTCGAAGTCTCTCAGAATCATTGTCATGGGGCATGCCAACTTATGCATACCAGATGGCGAAAACATTCACTCTTTGCTTTTTTATTATTATTTTTTTTATTTTGCACTCTTGATTTTCAGTTAGCAGTGGATATGAATTGCTTGATAGGAAGTTTGGAAATAAACAAGTAAATCTCTGTGTGCTGTAGGTTTGTAGTAGGTTTTCTGGCTAGTTGTGAGATTCTGAGGAAGCAGCTCTTTGAGGAGATTTTAAGAACAGTGGAGTGGAATTATATTCATAGGCCTCCTAAGTATAGGTTATATACTTTAATGACTTTATGTATTGCATGTTGAGGGAATACTTTCATCAAATAGAAATTAGAATTTAATTTGTTTTATATTTGTGTGGTGTGCGAAAGTGCATGTGGTTTCTTGACTGAATTGGAATTAACTGGCAGATCTTAAACCTTGGGAAATATATGCCATGGCAGAGACTTCTTGGCTGGTTGCCAGTCTTTTGTGTGAAGTTATCCAGAGCTGTGAGTGTGCAGACACCCAGGGCTTCTGAAGGGCAGGAAGGGGGCTGCAGCTGGTCACATGACCATCTCGTTCATGGGTTAGAGAGCGAACTGCCAGGGAGTCATCCAGATCACACTGACGGCCAAAAAGGAACCTGTGATACTTGCAAACCAATGAAGCTGTAGTTTCAATTAACATTTTCCCACACCTCACAGTAACTAAGAAATAAAAAGAGATTTCCTCTCTCTGGATGGTGTGTTTTGTGTGTGTGTGTGTTTGTTATTTTTTAGTGCTCTTCTGTAATTTCACTTCAGTTTATGCGTTTTCCTTGTACATAAACGTTCTGTGGTTAGATGGAATGATTTGCTTCAGATATAAAGTATTGGTGTATTGTGTTTAACCTACTTGATTATGAATTATTATGCTTGTAGTCAAAATATTCTGATGTTAGCTAATGTTAAAGCCCCTTTCCCAGTGTTCTGTACTCTAGAGAAGTTGTAGCATACTCTCAGACTTAGTTTTTCTATCTTTATTTTCTCCCTACCAGGAATCCCTGCCTTGTCCTATCTTTTCATATCCTTTATGAAATTATCACCGATCCCTGCCCCTCTCCCCCAAGCCCCAGTTGAGCTGGATGTGATCTTGTGTGACTCATAGTTCTTGGGATACTTGTGCTTTCCTACTGCACACTTAGTTATTTGGTAAACGTCCTTGGGGGCTTCAGGAGCCATGTGTCACATCTTCACATCTGCCATAGTACTCAGTGTCTTGTGCAGAGTCGGCAGTATATGTTTGAAAGATTGAATTTTGTTAACTTCCAAAAATGGGGGAGGTTATACCAAATCAATAATATTGGCTCCTCTGGTCAGCTTGGAAGACTGAACAGCTACAGAATGTTTTTCCCGAAGAAGACCTAAATCATGGCATTGTTGTTGTTGAGTGCCGACAGTTCAGAGTAGAACTGCCCCACGGGCTTTTCTAGGCTGTAATCTTCAAAGAAGCAGATTACCAGGTCTTTCTCCCAAGGAGCTGCTAGGTGGGTTTGAACCGCCAACCTTTTTGGTTAGCACTTGAGTGCTTAAGCATTTGTGCTGCCAGGGCTCCTTAATCATGGCGTAGATGAGCTATATTATTTCTCTCCCAAGAGGGACACCCTCAGTTCTGATATAAACAGGACATCTAGAAGAAGCACATGTTAACCAAGCAGAATAAGATAAAATGAGTCACTATTCCAAAAGAGGGAAAGCAATACCAAAAGGAATAATTTTGATTTGACAGGAACTCATTCCTTTGGGGGATAAATCAGATCAACATGGTACCAACTTAGAGGTAAATGAAGATTTCAATACAGATGAAAATCTTCCCAAGATTTGCACACAAGGGCTAGTGTTCAGTTTATTGTTTAAGTAGCATTTCCTATACCCGTACCCTAACTTCCCTCCCCCAACCAATATAAATGGAGTTGTGTATGGAATTCATTATTGTGATTGAAAGAAACAGAGATTAAATTAGGAACTTTTATTTGATTTCTTAAGTAGATAGACATTTGGAATTAGTAGATTTAAAATACTAAGCAACTATAATTTTTTACTTTTGACATTGTATTGCCAACTTTGATCCTTATCAATAATAACTGAATTTTTGAGAATGTAAAAGTGTGAAAGGGATGTCAAAACTAAATTACTGGAATTTTCCTTTTCAGGCAGGTAATGTTTTAAAACATTGCCTTCAAACAAAGAACTGTTATGAAATGTTAACTGATTTATTTGTCTAGAAAAAAGACTTGTATTTCAGATTTTAAACACTTGCAATAAATAGCAGTTTTATTTAAAATTAATAAAAATAAAGCTCTTATTTGTGGGTTTAAATTCGTACTGGATCATTTTCAAAGGCAGTTATGATTAAAAATAAAAAAGGAAAATCTTTGTTGATTATACCTGTAAACTATTCGGACACAAATTTTCAGTGTTGTAAAATTAGAAAACGGGGGTTTTTTATTTAAAAATAGTATTTTGAAGTTCAAAAGGAAACTTTCTAACAGAGGCGGTCTGAAAACACGAAAGGCTCTTCTTTAATAAGCTGGTATTTGTCTTTCAACGAAGGATGTGGGCTTCTCTGCAGGTATTCTTCTAATTTTCCATAATTGGCTTATTTGATGGCAATATATCAAATTTACTAACAGATACTTTAAAAATAAGCTTACTTTCTAAAAGAATTCTTTTGGGTTTTAACTTTTTTTGGTTTGAAATAGATGGAGTCTTTATAATATCAGTGGTTTTTTTAAAAAATTTTTTTTTTCAGTATTCTTCATCTGTCATTCATAATAAAACCAGAGGTCACATTTGCCCCTAAGTATCAAAATGTTATACAAGTGAATGGAAAGGAGTTTAAAACTTAGTGGAGGACCTGACACTGCCTCCTTCTTGAGGGGTACTTTTTGCATGTAGGTTTTTTTTTTTTTTGTTATGTTTTGTTTTTATATTAGTGTTTATACGTAACTTCCTGTATGAAGATAACTTTGTAGCCAGTAGATAAAGGACTTGTGATGGAAGGATTTCTTTATAGTTGTGTAAAAAAATCAGTTTCATTATATTATGATTTCTTCTTATTTTAGATGAGTAAAGGATAGTTTGGTTTGGGAATGTTTTTTCAGTTTTTCAAGAATATGATGTGGAACCTCATTTCTTGGGTAGTTCTGATAGCACCAGCAGCAGGAATGAAGCACAAGTTAGAATTTTAAAGCTGAGAAAGAGGGAGGGATTTTTCTCTGTCTGGGTGTGATGTACTCAATCAGGTGGAAACATTTTGGGTGAGAAATAAAGACAGGAAAAATGGCAGCTTTTGATGAAAGAGGCTATTTATACAAAATAATCTTAAAATATTCTTAAGAGAAGCTAGTTGATAACACATTCAGTTCATACCATGCTAGGGAAAAGTAAAACACTAGGCTGATATATAATATGAAAATGTATATCCTTCACATATGTAAATTTCTCAATCTTGTATTCTTTGAATAGAAGAAA